GTTGAGTGACAAAAGTCAATCTCAAAAGGTCACATACTGTATTTATGTAACATTACAGAACATGACAAAATTACAGAGGTGGAAATTAGGTGTTACCAGGGGTTAGAGATAGTGGGCAGAGGGTGTAGGTAGGTTTGAGGTAGCATAAGGGAGATTTTTGTGATGACAGACTAATTCTTTACCTTGATTGTGGTGATGGCTACACTGTACACATAATAAAATGATAAAGAACTATATACGTACTTCTACCAATATCAACTTCCTGGTTTTGATATTGTACTATAGTTATAAATAAATGTAACTAACAAGGGAAACTGGGCAAAGCATGCACAGGATCTCTCTGTACTATCTTTGCAACTTCCCATGAATCTATAATTACTTCAGAATAAAAAGTTTTAAACAATCAATGTGAAATCATCCAAGAGTTGGGAAATATGGGAGAATTTATAAATTTGTTGAAAAGGGTAAGGCAAACCAAAGTGGAAACCAAAGATGGCTAGGGATGATCACCATGTGGCCTAGAAAGATAGCGGGAGGGCAACCCGGGTGGTTCAGCGGTTTAGTGCTGCCTTCAGCCCAGGGCATGACCCTGGAGACCTCGGATCATGGAGCCTGCTTCTCCCTCTGCCTGTGTCTCTGCTTCTCTCTCTCTCTCTGTCTCTGTCTCTCATGTCTCTCATTAATAAATAAAATCTTAAAAAAAAAAAAAAAAGATAGCCAGAGAGTTTGTTCAAATCCCCAAAATAGATAGTTCAACCAAACATTTACTGAATACCTAGTATATGCAAGACATGGTGCTATAAATACCAGTGGGGTTAAGAAAAAGGTCAAGCACTTACCTCTGAATTAATTTACTAAGACAGAACAATTATTAAAGGCCTCAGGGCTTCTGCAAAAGCAGTTTCCTTTGCCCAGAACACTCTTCTGTTTTTCTAGTTAATTCTTAACCATCCCTAAACTCTCGGTTCATTATCACTTCTTCAGGGAAATCTTCCCTAGCTCTCCTCACGGCCCTCAATATCAGGTTCCTCTACTACATGGTCATACAGCACCCTATATTTTTCATTCATAACACTAATCATCATTCACAATTAAAGAACTGTGTAATGATTTGATATCTATACTCATTAGGCTAAAATTTCCAAAGGGCAGAGATAGGTCTGTGCAGCTCACCACCGTATTCCCAAACCCAGCGCCATGCCTGGCAAATGACAGAAGTTCAAAATATATTACATGAATGAATCCGTACAAAGCTATAATTCATATGTACAAATGAGTAGGCAGACAAGAAGTTACTGGGTTTGGAAGAATCCAAGATCACTTCAATCTGGGAAAGACAGTTTATATGGGATAGACAGTTCATGCAGAAAATAAAGAATCTTACATCCAAAGTGAACAGGATTATCAGCCTTTCATCAATAGGAACCTACCAAAGAACTGAAACAGGAAAGCAGTATGTCCAATGTCTTCTATAGGAAAATTACAGTAGAGAACTGAAAGGTTAAGACATAAGGAGCGGTAAAAGTAATTCTGAGGACACTGTGGTAGTGCAGGCACAAAAATGATATGAGAGGGTGGCCATGGGAACAGCCAGATGTCTGAAACACTAAGAGCCAAAAGAACTTAAGGACTGATTAGATACAGGACCATGAAAGGGGGGGAAGAGCCAAAGATAATTCAAGAGGTTTAACGGTGACTGATCAATGAAAGACAGTACCATTAATAGAAATGGAAAGTCTCAATTAAGTCCTCTTGGGAGAAGGGAATGTGCTTTGTTAGAAGTCTCAGGTAAGACATGAACAGACATTTCTCCAAAGAAGACACATAAATAGCCAACAGACACATGATCACTCGGCATCAGGCAAATACAAATCGAAACCACAATGAGATACCACCTCACACCGGTCAGAATGGCTAAAATAAATAAAGTCAGGAAATGACAGATGTTGGCGAGGATGCAGAAAAAGGGGAACCCTCTTACACTGTTGGTAGTAATGCAAACTGGTACAGCCACTCTGGAAAATAGTAGGAAGGCTCCTCAAAAATTTGAAAATAGAGCTACCCTATGATCCAGCAATTGCACTGCTGGGTATTTATTTACCCCAAAGATACAAATGTAGTGATGTGAAGGGGCACCTGCACCCCAATATTTATAGCAGCAATGTCTACAATAGCCAAACTGTGGAAAGAGCCCAGATGTCCACCTACAGATGAATGGATAAAGAATGGCATATATATACACAATGGACTACTACTCAATCATGAAAGAAAGAAAGAAAAGAAAAAAGAAAAAAAAGAAAAGAAGCCTTGCCATTTTCAATGATGTGGGTGGAACTAAATGATATTATGCTAAAGTGCAGTAAGTCAATCAGAGAAAGACAATTATATGATCTCACTCATACCTAGAAATTAAGAAACAAAACAGGATCATAAGGAGGAAAGAGGAAAAAATAAAACAAGATGAAATCAGAGAGACAGACAAACCATAAAGAGACTCTTAATAAGAAATGAACTGTGAGTTGCTGGAGGGGAGAGGGACAGGGTGATGGGGTAACTGGGAGATGAATATTAATGAGGGCATGTCATGAGCACTGGGTATTATATAAGACTGATGAATCTCTAACCTCTACCTCTGAAACCAATAATACAATTCAATAATTTATTTAAATTCAATGATAATTCATTGAATGATAATATAGATACTAATGGGAAAAAATAGATACTAGAGGGGGAAAAAAGTCTTAGGTAACATCCATGCAAATGAAGATGTGAGACTAGGTGGGAAAAAGTCAAGGTTGGCAAGGTAATCTATGAGTTGATCACAGTTAAGGTTGTAAGAGTGAAAGAGATCTCCCATGGGGAGAAGGTACAAAGGGCCTTGAATGAAACCTTTAAAGGCATTTGATTTGCCCCTTGCTTGAACTATGTTTATCGGACTGTGGGCTCCTTCAGACTGTAAGATCCCTGAGGGCATATCTGATCTCATCCTTGCATTCCCTAAAATGTATTCCATTACAGTTTTGTACATAACTGGTGCACAGTAAGCAGCCTATATTAAAGGAATCAATTATTTCAAGGTAATTTCTGATTAATATTTCCTGTTCCACCTGCATTCTATTTCAAAAGGTTGTGCCACAGTGATGTCTGATTTTCCAAGGCTCTGTAACTGGTGAACTGACAGACAAGGTGTTGGGACTTTGAAAAATAAATTAGACTTCGGTGACATTAGAACTAAAGCAAATCCCCAGAATTAGGGAATACTCTTCAAGAAGTTTCTGCATAGAATAAAACAGGAAATATTTTTACTGAGGGAGTGAAACAAATGAAAATTTTCAACTGTAGGCATGACACAAGTTAACAGTGTACAAAAAGTAAAGCTTCAGGTGAAATAAAGGATAAACATGGGCAGCCCGGGTGGCTCAGCGGTTTAGTGCCACCTTCAGCCCAGGGCGTGATCCTGGGGACCTAGGATCGAGTCCCACATCGGGCTCCCTGCGTGGAGCCGCTTCTCCCTCTGCCTGTGTCTCTGCCTCTCTGTCTCTCATGAATAAATAAATAAAACGTTAAAAAAAAAAAGGATAAACAAGATAATTAAAGGGAAATGAGGACAGTTGAAAGGCATACTTAAAAAAAAAAAGAAACATGAGGGAAAAGTCATTCACCTGCTCTCCCACAAAATATTACAGAGGTAGAATAAAAGACAAACCTTAAAAAAAAAAAAAAAGGCGAACCTGATTCAATACCTAGATGAACAGTGTTTCCTCCATTGCTGTATAAAATAAGGAAAAGGACTGCTAAAACCCATCAGGAGGCAAATCTGGTGACAGTCCCCATCCCCCCAAATTAAATGATCTAGGTTATGGTATGCCACAGCGTTCTAACCCTGAATCACAGCTAATGCCCTAAGGGCTTCCAGATAGGTGAATCAATGGGGGAAGTCAGGGGAGAGAAAAGAAACCCGCTGGAGTCACAGATTCTAGGAACCTGACAAATCGAAGCATCTGTAATCCAACCACCCTCTCAGAATCAGACAGCTTTCCCCAAGTCTAAAAGATGGCCAACCAGTCTTTGCCTATTTCCAACAACAGCAGATGGACCATTGGTAGGTAAAGTGACTCTTCTCTGAGTTGGACAGCTCTGAATCGTTGTAAAAACCCTCTGGAGTTATTCCTCAGTAACTTTCACTCCGGGTCCTGGTTCTCAAGAGCCATAGAGTGAAAAGTGAAAGTTGTATTTCCGGATTTAATTTGAAGAAAAAACAAAACAAAACAAAACAAACAACTAGGTATTACTTCCTGGCGAGTCAATACATTCCCTTCTTTCAATGGTAGTAGGAAAATTTTAATTTTTTCTTTTTCTCAGCGTTTGACTCCCCTTAAAAGCAGAAGAAGAAAAAAAAAGTAATGCCAGGCCCAGGTTCCTTTAGACTCGGAGCTGCGACCTCCAGAGCAGGGCAGAGCAGAGGGGCTCAAATAACTACACACGCTGCAGCTGACGTGAAATCCCCGTTGCCAAGAAGCAAGCGGTTCTACCCGGTGCCTGGCCGCTCGCAGGCTGTGGGGGCCGAAGTGCCTGCACCCCTCGTCGCCAACGCCGCGGGGGGGCTGGACGGGCGCTCCTTCCCAGGCCAGGAGCAAGCCCCGCGCCCCACAGGGTACAGCGCTCGGCCCGGAGAAGCGGCAACGCTAACAGGAAGGTTCAGCGAAGCACCTGGCAAGACCCAAGCCGAGCCGCGGGACCAGCCGCCCGTATGCCCAACCACCCCGTCCGCCAGAGGCCACCTGAGCAACGGCACCGGTGGGCGCTCCCGGAGTTAGACGTTTCTGGCTCGGTCGGGGTCCCGTCTATTCCTCCCGCCCACCCTCTCTCTCCCCACGGCCCACAGCTGAGCCGGAAGCCACCCCAAGGGGTGGTGTTCCAGGAGGCACTCCATGTTTGGGGTGAGTGTTGCGGGCCGGCCCGAGCTCTCGAGCTGGCGGGCGGTTGCGGCGGTCACTCACCGAGAGGACGCTCATGCGGATTGGGGTCTCCAACAGGCACGCCATCTTGAGCCTTCCCACCCGGCTACGGCCGGTGCCGGCGCGGGGGCCGGCACTTTCGACAGGGAACTACTGGGCCAACGACAGGCACCTTCTGCGGAGAGACAGGCAGACAGACGAGAACACACCACACTCTAGGCACAGCTGAAGTACGACCAGGGCCCGCAGAGGGGAGAGAAAAGGAAAACCGCGCCAAGCGTCTCCTGACGAATCGTCGTCTCAGAAACGGCAGCTACTCTCAGCCTGGGTTAGAGGTGGGAGCGGGCAGCAGTTTCCGCATGCGCAAAGAAGATCTGCCGGCCCCACCTGCCGCTCGCGGTGGGCGGAGCCACGGGGGCGGGGTCTCGCTCTTGGAGCTGCAAACTTCACGGGCTGAGTCGTTACAATGCAGCTCACCTATTCACATGGTAAAGAGTCACATATGTAATTTGAAGTTCACGTTCCTATACATTATCTCGCTCCTTTGCAGCAGGTTCCTAGCGTGGTTATCGCCATTTTACAGATGAAGGGGCTGTGGTCTCCGAACCAGGTCTTCGGCGTAATCGACCCATTAATTCTGGCGTAGTGTTAAGAATAGATACTCTGGAGCCAGAACGCCTGGGTTAGTCTTTGCTACTTCACTTATCAGTTGCATTACCTCCAGCCAAGTTACTTAACCTCCCTATGCTTCGGCTTTCTCTTCTATAAAATAGGGGTTATGAGAACGGGAAACTAAAGGTCTTTAGAACATGACTGGAATGTAGAAAGCGTTATGTATATGTTACTATTTCCTCAGTCTCTGAGTCAAATAGAAAAAAAGGGGGACAAATATCTGAGAATTAACACTAAAGCGCTCTGATAACTGAAGCCAAATGAAAACATGCTTCTAATGATATTTTCTAATTAATTCAGCTTTCCCACTCCATGTGTGTGTCTATGGGTGTGGTGTGTATGTGTGTGTATAAAACAGCCCTGGACTTGGCTGGACAGGTTTCACCTTCCTGCTGTCTATAACCAGTCAGTTTTCATAGAGTGGTTGCAATAAACCTGTTTCATTACTTGTTTTTTTTTTCTATTTTTATAGCCACTCCTTAATCACGCTGTTACTACCTCTCCCCTGCCCTAGAGCAATAGCCTTCCAACTGATCTTGTAGCCTCTAACCTTTTCACTTTGCTTCTCACTGCTTTCTATTCTAGAAAGTTCCCCTTAAGCCACTTTGCTTTTAGCAAAGCCCTACGTTAGAATCTGTTTTTGCTAACCAAAGAAACCCAAAGAGAATTTTTGCTTTTATGAAAAAAAAGGTAGTAAATGAAAATAGCAGTGTGTGTTTTGCAGTGAGCCTTTGTAAGGCACCTGTCAACCACAGGCAGCAGGGGAGAGTGACATCCCCAAGCTCTTCCTCTGGGAACTACATTCAGCATCTCAGCATCAAGCCACCCATAGCTTTGAACTGTATCTGTGAGCATCTGTGCTTTATCTCCATTTATTTTGTTCATTTGTTCGTAAGATATGGCCTAAGGTATCAGAAATGCCTAAAAGAGGTTATTTTTCAGCTCTGGGAATGCTCAAAAATGTTTCCATATGAAGTTATGGTATTCCTTCTTCACTTTATGCCATTTTAGTTTAGAAAGTTTTAATAAGAACACTCTAGCATTAAACAGCATAAAGAAAAAACAAATATATATGTATCTGTTAATATAGCTGTTTTGGGTCTTTTTTTTTTTTTTTATGATAGTCACACAGAGGGGGGGGGGGGCAGAGACACAGGCAGAGGGAGAAGCAGGCTCCATGCACTGGGAGCCCGACGTGTGATTCAATCCCGGGTCTCCAGGATCACGCCCTAAGCCAAAGGCAGGTGCCAAACCGCTGCACCACCCAGGGATCCCTGTTTTGTGTCTTTAAATAAATTCTTAGATGTTAAAAAGAAAAGAACACTCTAATTTTGCATTGTGGGGGAAACCTGTACTTGGTTTTCAAATTTATTGTAGCCCTAATCATCCTTCCTCGTGGCTCTGTCTTCCCAAACAAACTGTTGAGTTTCTAGAAAGCAGGAATTTCACTTCAGATTTTTCCCTCTGTAGTATTCTCCAAACTTCAGTAATCTGCATACCACCCATGCAAACTTTGTCATCTGAACCTGGGTGTTGTTATTCACTCAGTATTTTTCTTTAAAGTCAACTTCAATTCATTAAATAGTTTAGCTTCATCCTAAACCATAAGAGTCTGTAAAATCAAGTTTTTGTGCTTATTTTTATTCTAGTACATATTAACATGATAACTACAAAAAAGTTTAAATGTCCACCTATCACCTAAAATCATGTCATATTCTGCATACTATAACATAGCAGAGCATAACACTTGAACAGAGGATATAAAAGTATCGAATGAAATTTCAGCTGACATTTATATGACATTTATATTTATAGAGTTGTGATAGCTGTATTTATCCATGTTCACCAATTACCTCAAGCAATACATCCTCCAGGAAGCCCTTTACCCAAGTATAAGTTAGGTGACCCCTTCCCCATGTTTTTATACATCATGTTCTTTTTTTTTTTAAGATTTTATTTATTTAGTCATGAGAGACACAGAGAGAGGCAGAGACATAGGCAGAGCAGCAGGCTCCTCACAGGGAGCCCTATGTGGGGTTCAATCCTGGAACTCCAGGATCACGCCCTGAGTCCAAGGGAGACAGACGCTCAACTGCTGAGCCAACCAGGCGTCCCTGCATCATGTTCTTGCGACTAACACAGTATATCCAACAATATATTTTAATTTTTTGGTAATTGTTTACTTGTCTCGTCATTATACACTTCAGGGTAAGTACTAGGATTTTTATCTGCTAAGTCTTTTATCTCACTGCCTAGTGTAAAATAGTCACTTAGTAAATGCTTATTGAATGAATTTTTTACCTAGTTTGGGCACCACCAAAGGCAGATCATGGGATAGTGATTTCAGTGCAGGTAGTTTATTTGGGAAGTGTTTCCAGAGAACAGAATTGATGGGTCAGGGAGTGTAAGAAAAGAAAGAAGGAAAAGTCAATATAAGGATCCATTATTGAAATCATTGCTTACTCCTTTAGGGCCTCTGAAAAATGTACAGAATGCTCCCCCGATGTCCCTCTTGAAGTTGGAGCATTTATCCACTCTCCCATCCTGCATTGGTTGAGGATTTCCCCAGGGCTGGTAACTGTCCTGGATTGTACTTGTGCTCAGAATAGAGAGGGCTTCCTTAATCTGGTATAGAAAAGCAGAATCTGTTGGCTTGCTTTTGGGGTGCAATACTGACAATATGAATCTGAGCTTGCAGCAGAACCATCATTACAACTGTGGCTGAAATCAGAGTGGACAGGAGATACGGAATGTGACTCAAAGAATCCAACACCTCTGCTATTCAGGCATTTCTGTTTTATTTCCAGAAGACTGACATAGCCATTTTACAGGAAGGAAGCATTGATTAGTAAACTTTTAAGCTTGAGGATCAGGATCTCATTTATAGTTCAAATTTTGCTGCTAAATAACTGTAGGTTTACTCTTCAAAGCCAATTAATGAGTGGAAATTGAGGGGTAATAAGAAATTTTGATAAAACTTCCATGTAACAACAACAAGAAAACAGGTAACTGGCACTGTGGTGAGTGAGAAGAGGGAAATATCTACACTGACTTCCCTACAAACAGGAATGAAATTTCTTCCCATCCTTCCATGGCTCTTATCTCAGAGCAGTATTAATTTCTGAAAAAAATGACAACGAAGTGTAAATTTAATAAGGAAAAATAGTAATACAAAATGAAAAGTAGCCAGAAAGAAATCTGAAAGGTACTTAGAAATATCTAAATGCAACTACCAGGTTAGAGAAAGTCAAATTCTTGAAAGTAGAAACATACCTATGCAAAAGGAGGAAAGCATAAAGTATAGAAGAATAGTTGTAAACCAAAAACTGAATGGCCTCAAAAGGAATTTAGAAGCAGCTTTAAAAGGATTTGACAATAGAGGAGAGTCTTTAGCTAGATCAAAAAGAGAAAATGTATTAATGGTGGTGCAGACGAGATATAGTTCAGTTTATTTTTTTTTAAATTTATGATAGTCACAGAGAGAGAGAGAGAGAGAGGCAGAGACACAGGCAGAGGGAGAAGCAGGCTCCATGCACCGGGAGCCTGATATGGGATTCGATCCCGGGTCTCCAGGATCGCGCCCTGGGCCAAAGGCAGGCGCCAAACCGCTGCACCACCCAGGGATCCCTAGTTCAGTTTAACAGTCACTAACTGTGGGGTTACTTGTACACATATTTACTAGGGATTCAAAGTGGTTTAAAGACATGGTTCCCAACTTCAAGCAGGCAGAAATAAAAGTGAGACTCTGAGAGAGGTTCAATAATTTAAGTTTGCTCAGGGGTTGAATAAGAGGCTCAATCAATTTGAGCACAGGTTTCTCTTTCAAAATTCCTACCAGAGCCCTCACAGTCTCCTAGGACTCCACAGGCCTATCCTACATGGGACAACTAAGCACTCGCCTAAGCAACCAGCTAATTAAGCAAAATCTACAATGCCTTTGCAATGGGAAATAATGCATTAGTAATTCATCAAATGTTTGGAAGGTACAAAATATGCATATGCATAAAGCAGGAGTAGTAAGGTATTAAAAAAGTCTTTTATTCAAAATTACAGTAAAAAAAAGAAAATGTTCTTTTTACAAGCAAATTTGGTAGAATTCCAACTTACAGATAAAGATGATGGAATTTGAAAGCCACCACACGACAACCATGTGAGTTATAATTGAAGCAAAAATCACCAAGGGATGCTTAAATTGATGAAAATATAGTGAAGAACAGGATATTTATCCAGTCTCAAAGTATCTTCCCACAAATTACTAATGATAGTAGAGAAATTTGGTAGACACCAGTTTATTCAAGCAATTTTGATTAAAATCACCACTAATGAGTTAAATAGACACCACGATAGGATGTACTGATAAGGTTATAGCATCACTTCCACAGTATTCCTGCCAAAAATGCATGAGTGTAATGATGAGGAAACATCAGACAAATCCTAATTGAGGGATATTCTACAAAATAACACACTTATATCCTTTAAAATTGTCATGAAAAGCAAAGAAAAGCTGAAGAATTGTTCTAGGTTAAAGGAAACTAAAGTGACATGACAACCAAATGCAATTTGTGATCTAGGATTGAATCCTGGACAATGAAAAAAAAACCATTTTTTTCCCCTCTTGTCACAAAGGACATCAACAGGAAGGTTGGTGAAATTTGAACAAAATCTTTAGATGATTGTTAATCATTGCTAATATCTTGACTTTGATAATTATATTGTTGTTATAAAGAGAAAGCCCTGTTTTCAGGAAATACCCAGTGAAGAATTTAAGTGTAAAAAATTAAGTAGTTGTGAATTAAGCAATTGTTTTTTCTTTAATAATGAAAAAAGAAATCATTTAGAGAGTTATTTTTAAAAAGAGGACCAAGGATCCTAGAAATGTATTCATGCAACAAAATATATATTTTAGGTACCCACTATGTGCCAGGCACAGTGCCCAGGAGTGGTAATATAATTATGAGCAAGATAGATAACATTCCTTGTTCTCAAAAGCTTTCAGGCAAAAGATAAAGAGAGACAAGAAAATAAGTCATTAGAATGTAGAATAATATGTATGTAGAATAATATGTATGGGGCTAAGGCAGCATCTAGGAAGGAAACTTCATGAGACCTGAAGTCCTTTTGGTGGAGGTGGCACCCCAAGCTCTGACCTGAAGTGTCAAGAGGAACAGACCAGGCAAAATCCCTGAGTGTTACTCCACACAGAGCTTGGCTTGTCCATAAACCTTCATCCACTTGAAAAATTAAGACACCACTTCTCTGTATTTAGGTGTAGAAACACTGGTAGATCCTCTAAAACTAATGCAAAGACAAGAGCTCTACTTTCTATAAAATCAGCAGGTCTTCAGTTGGCTATACCATCTTCTGGATTGCCTGGGTAATAAAAAGACACCTCCACCCTGAACAATGACGACCACTTTAGGCAGATGTGTTTGAAAATAAAGACTTGAAGATGACAGTTTAGGTAAGTAAATCCAATTTTTTTTTTTAACCATTTACAATACAGAAATGGAATCTGGAAGTTACCAAACTTGTAAACGAGAGATAGTGAAGGTGTTTTCTTTTTAATTTTTTTTATTTATTTATGATAGTCACAGAGAGAGAGAGAGAGAGAGAGAGAGAGAGAGAGAGAGGCGCAGAGACATAGGCAGAGGGAGAAGCAGGCTCCATGCACCGGGAGCCCGATGTGGGATTCGATCCCGGGTCTCCAGGATCGCGCCCTGGGCCAAAGGCAGGCGCCAAACTGCTGCGCCACCCAGGGATCCCAGTGAAGGTGTTTTTTAAAATGAAATCAGAAAGTCCGGTGATATGTCTGACAAGTTTAAGATTCAGAGGCTAGAACCACAGAACTTTTATTCTTTTGTGATGTT